GCCTCATTAAGGAATTTAGGAGGATACAATCCCATGTATTCTTAAACTAACAAAAAGTTCCACAACTCCTGTGAAGGTTGTAAGACTTTTTTATGCATAAGATTGCAGGTTGTTGCCACTTTGCAGTCCTGGGAAAACTCTTTTGGAGCACAAATACACATAGATTTAAAAAACATGTGCCATTTTTTCCTTAAAAAATAGGTCAAATTAACTTCATCTCTTCACTTGAACTTACATTTATAATTGATAATTATATTCTAAATAACAATTGCCAAATGATTGTGGAAGCTGGCACAGTCTTGACAAGCGCCAAAGTGGAAAGGACAGGTGCGTGGAGTGTGCACAGGCCCAAAGTAAACACTAGTTCAGAGAGGAAATCTAAAGCAGTCATCTTTCGTGCTGAGAAATTTATTTCTCTTAAATATTTACAATGGGAAACGGATAGCACATGATGCCACTTGGCTTTATTTCCTGACAAAAGGGGGTAGCCTGTGGTAACAAGCAGATGCTTGAGTTGTCCATGTGGCGTGAGGTGTACCATCAGTGAGGAAGATCAATATTTACTGTTCTGGTGGTGTAGAAGTCTGCCTGGTGGAACAAGAGGATGATGTATAGCGTGTAAGGATGTGGTTTCGCTTCCGCTGTAAGCAGGGGTGGGCAGCCTTTTCTGGGCAGAGGACTTCATTCCATGGTGGGGCGGTGAGCAGGGTGGGTGGGACTCCGCCAAAGCTGCAGTGGCACCCTTTCGTCTCTCTGTCTCCCTCCCTTTCATTCAGCCGTTGCCTATGTAGAGAAAAAGCCCTACGGCTCCCAGCTGGCTGGGTGGGGCACCCTGGGAATGGTAGGATTATTTTCCTGTTTGGACATGTCTAATACTCTCTTTGATTCATTCCTCTCTCACACACACACAGAATCACCTTCCAGACCTCCCCCTCATTATGCAAACACATCATTTTACCTACACAGGGACGTCCCTCTTGCATGCGTGTATACACACATGCACATGCGCTCACGCACGTGCACATCCTCCTCCCATTCGCCCAGGCATGTTCCTGAACACAGTCCCCTGCTTGCAGCTGGCAGGGATGGGGGGGGGGGTTAAACCTTCCATCCCTGCACACTGCACTTCCAGCACACCTCCCCCTCCCCCACTTTTCACAGCACCATTTGATGTGTGTGGGGGGTGATGATGTGTTTTCCCACAATGAACTTTTAAAATCTCAAATTCTTTCCATCCTGTTTACTGAGATATTTGCAACTTCAGGTGATTTCTGACCAAGTGGAGCACCAAAGAAATTCTCATGCATTAGCACTGACAATTTTAATAATAAATACGGCTATTCCTGGTGCAAGGAAGGCTGTATCATGGTAGCCAATCATATAGCTGCTAAAGGTAAGGGGACCATAGTGGCCACAAATCCATTTGGGGACAGGAACTGGTCAGGTTCCCTGGGCTCAGCCCCTGGACTCCAGTCGGCTTTGCAGTGGCCTGGAGTCCAGGTTCCTGGTGAGTCTTCTTAGTGTTCACGGAGTGCTTGCCAGGAATCGAGTCCCATCTTTGGCACAAGCAGCGGCCCTCTCCCACACCTATTCCAGCTGTGAAGAAGCCTGGTCTTCAGGAAAGGCAGCTGGAGAGACTGCCTGGAGTGCCTGTCATCTACGCCCTGCAGCTGCTCTTGTGGATTTCTCAGACATCCTTACTTCTCCATCAACACAGGGAGGTTACAGGTGGGGAAGGAAGGGCTGAAGCACCTGAAAACTGTTCCTGTCCTAATATTTCAGGCAATAAGTCTGATAATGTCCAAATTCACCTATTTTTAGACTTGGCTTTTAGCATACTGTGCAGTCAGCTCACTTCTTTCAAAATGGTCAATGAATACTTTGATGGAGTTGTCTGTAATTTTTCATGCTCTCTGCCCCCCGAATGCCAGCCCCAGAAGTGTCGGGAATCCTCGGAGAAAGAACCCTCACTCTTTCTTCCAAGAAATCTAACACAATTCATCCTTTCAAAATTTGATCCTCTATTACTTGCTGAAAAATAAGTTTCTCCATGTTCAATCAAATTGAAAAAGGCCCTAACTGCTTTGTATGAAATCCAAACTGCATTCAGAATTCTTTTTGAAATGTTCATTGCAGCATCTTCCATCTGTGCCTGCTGTCCGTGCCATCACACGTCATTTGAATAAATGGGAATCTGTCCTAAACCCAAATATGTTAATGAATTGTACATTTCCTTGCAATGCAAACAAACATCTTCCAGTCAAGTTGCAATAAATGTATATATTTTAAAATTTATGGCAGGGCTTCCCCTGCTTGTAAAATAGGATGGATTTAAATATTTTGCATAGGACCATTCAAACTCTCTTCCCTCCGAACGCCACTTGCCTTTCTTTCCTGCGATTTTTCTCTCTTGTGGTCTTCAGTTGAACTGAAAATACCTATTGGAGGCAGGGGAGAGGCTGTCTCCTTCATAGGATTTTATCTGATGCTGCTTTTACTGTGTCATTTGTCATCTGCATTTATTATTGCTACTCTTGTAGTACACCACGTTGTGAGAACTTGCCCTAAAAGGCAGGTTAGAAACATTTATAATAAAGGTCTGTCTGTCTCTTAGTTGTGCGCCACAGTGCCAAGGGCTGTGCCACTGAAAATGGAATATTCACTTGCATACTATTGGTACTCTAGGGATGTGCACCTTGGGATTATTTTGCTCTTTAAATGAACAAATTAATTTTCATTAATTTACAAGCGTCCTTGTTGAAGCATGCTGTAACATTTTCAGCCACTAGGTGCAGACTTCCCTAGCCACTGCACAGCTTAGCCGTCCATAGAGTTTGAAGCTACAGAGAGGTTTGTAGATCAAGGGACATGACTTTATGCCCCTCCCTGCTGTGGGGCAGCCCCTCCCCTTGGGGAATGGAATGGGCTGACCATGGCAGGGGTCATGCCTAGGGGCAAGAGTGGCTGTGCCTTCACTCACACAGCTGTGCTGGGAGCTTTCGCTCTATCAAATAAAGTGTTATTCTCATCTTTGCAAAGCTGGGTCCATTCATTTGTGCTCAAGAAATCAACGTAGACCTCCCCAAGTCTGACCATTTGGGAATGCTCTGACAGTCATTTCTGGGCCCATTTTTGTCCTCAAAGTATCAGAAGAAGCATGACCCTTGTGGTGTATTGCATGGAGAAATCATGGCTAGCACCACAGCCCTACTTTCTGGTAATGGAAGCTGCCATGTTTCCTCTGCACACACACTGGAATGTGAAGGCTGTTTTCATGAAGGCTGTTTTCTCAATGCATTGTGGGTGAGGAAGCCTCAGATATGGGTGGGGGTATTACTGGAGAGGAGATCCCAGAGTGGCAAAACCTAGTTGTAAAAAAGTAAAATACATTGTTTTAATGAAGAGAATCTGTTGCAGCTGACTCAGAGATTACAGGTTCCTTAACCTGCATCATCCATAGGATAATTTTTTGTTTTTAATTATGACTTTCTGTTTTTAATATTTGCATATTTTTGTATGATTTCTTAAATTGTGCCCTGCTTTGGTGGCCTGGCAGAAAGACAGTATACAAAGAAACACACAAACAACTGTAAACGCCCGACCCCCAAAAGTCATAAAAGTTTCTCCAGCTGACCCCTGAATGTGGATTCTCAGGCTGCGAAATTAGGAAGGCAGTTTCTCATCAGCCTTATAATTCTTAATACTTTTTAAAAAGCTCACCCATTGTACAATTCTTGTTTGATCACTGCACAAAGGCTGATTTACGGTCTGTACACACAGAGAAGGCACGGCCACTGTTTCTCGTAATCCTTTTGTTTCCTCATGGTCTAGTTCTTAGGAAATGATGCAAAATGCAATGGGCAGGCTTGAATCTCAGGAATGAAATTCTGGAGGCATCGTATCTATGTGGGGAGGGAAGGAGGGTGGTTATCAAAGTCCTCACTCTGCTGTACTCCTATAAACGCTCTGTCTTTTGTCCTTGCAACTTTCTAAAGAATAAAACCAAAGCACAAAGCAGAGGAGGCACCAAGGAGGGAATGCAACAGTATTTCCTTAATCCATGTGGATCAAAAACATGAACGTTTTGATTCTGTAAGGACTCTTCCTCAGCATGCTGGATTAATCACATGGATTAATAAAACACTGTTGCATTCACTCCCTGGTGCCTCCCACACTTTGTCTTTCTCTCTCTCTTTTATTGTGTTTCTTTCGAGCTGTACTGGAACAAAAGAAGGAGCATTTCTATGAGTATTGTAGCCACTGGAACTGATAGAATTCCCCTCCTGGATGGTGTCCTTCCTGAATTTTTCGGCATTTTTAAATCTTAGATGGAAATGATGATGATTTGAGTATGTCTTACAGACTGAAGATATTGTGTCTGATGCCTCAAAATGTGTATGTGTGGAATTCTAAGCTTAATCATTCATTTGGACTCTTCAGACAATAGCCGGGTTTGCATGATTAACAAAGGAAAGGAGCCGGGGGATTTCTTTTCCCCATCCTCATGCATGCTGCTTTGACTAATTAGCCTTCTGGCACGTGGGTTGCTGGGTTGCCTGAACCCAAAGACGGGTGTGCTGGGGTGGCTTCCAAATCACCCCAGCATCCTAAAGCAAACCATGGGCTCTGGGGTCATTTTGAAGCATCCACAGCTATCCACCTTGCTGGGTTCAGACAACCTGCCTACACAGGTAAATGTGCAAATTGCACATTTCGGCAAATTCAGCAAATGTGCAAAGTTCTCATCTCTGGTAATTCAGCAAATTGCACATTGTGCAACCTGCCCATATAAGGTTGGGGAAAAAAGAAGCCAGCACTGTATCTTTTTCCTAGGGATAGTGCAAACCCTGCTGACGTTAAGAGAGTCTCACAACCGCTGTTTTGCAGTGGTTTTTTCCAAGTGTTCTCTTTTCTTCCCCTGCATTTGTGGAAGATACTTCCTTTATAAACTTATTGTAATGCAATCTACATTTGGAATGACAGGGTTGGCCATGCCAACCCCCAGTTATTTGACAGGGTTTGATTTTGGGGTTCTATTTCTTGTATACGTGAGAATAGCACATGCATCAAAATCCTCCACTACTTCTTGCATTAATTCCCTGGGAAAATCCAGTGTGTAGCAGCAAGTACCACTGAACTGAGATTCGTCCAGGTAACTTGTCCATCATGTTCAGGAGTTACGAATCTCTTCCAGCTCGAGGAAGAAGCTCTTTGGGACCACATCTTAGTGGCAGGGGAGGGAAAAAGGGCAGGGCCAAAGGCAAAAGAGGTGTTCATGCTTTTAGCTTGAAGCACATACTGCCAATAGGTGAGTCTTATGGGCCTGGGTGTGTTCTGGCCCTTGATCAGCTTATGCAGGCTCAGCCAATCACACAGGATTCTGCTTCTTCCAGTTCACTGACCAGGCCTACTTGTCCTGGGACTTCTAGCTTGCCTCCTACAGAGACAGAACACAACGCATTAAAAGTTAGCTCACTGACAGTTCCCCAGCTGCTTGCTTGCTTGCTTGCTTTATTTATTTATTTGTGCTTGTCATGCATCTGGAATTTCCACCTTCTGGTCCATTCTCATGAATGTTTAGTTAGAAGAAAGTACCACTGCATTCAAGGAGGGTCTCATGAGAGTCTCAGGCAAGGGACGGAGGGATTGCAGTTCCAGACACCAAATATTTTAGGCTGTCCTCTGAGTGCCTCCTCTCAGAGAGGTTTGGAGGATGGCAGCAAGGGAGAGGGGCCTTCCGGTTAGGTAAAGCTCTCCCAGTGGAGCCCACGGGGAACCGGCACCACCCCCTCTTCAGTGCCAAGTGAAAACATTCTGCTTTCTCCAGGCATTTGGTAGGATAGGATTCAATGCATCATTTGGTTGTCACTGACATTTTAATTGTTTGATGGGGCAGTGAATATTTTAGAGATGTGTTACATCGTGTTTTCATTCTGCTGCAAGTCATCTTGAATACGTTTTGAAAAGGTGTCTAAGAAATGTTGAAAAACAGTAATAAGAACAGAAACGCTTTAGGGAAGAAAACAGATAGATAAACCTGATTATTTGGCCCCATTTCAGTTGAGCTTGTGTTCAGGATATGCGTCTGAGATTGCTTGGGTCATCTTAGTGGATGGTTCATGCCAGAATCTGTATAGGGGTGCACGGACCTGCTCCTTCTTTTGGACCTCTCAGTGGCTTTTGACGCTGTTGGGCTTTGTATGCCCCTGGGCTGTCTGGAAGGAGTGCTGTTTTGCTGTGGTTTCAGTCATTTCCATCCTCCCATGTCATGAAAATGATGCTGGGAGATTGTGGCTTGATTACATGGCCATCATCTTGTTGTGACCCACATGGATCTGCCTTGTCCCCAGGGACAGGCCATTTGGAGCTTTGGAACGAGCTGATGACACTCGGCTCTTTTGTTCTTTGCCAGCCGACATCAAGGATGCCGCTGAAACCTTTGGATATTGCTTGGGTTTGATAATGACTGGGGCTGAACAGGCTGAGCTGTGTAGATGAGACGGCTGTGGTGTTGGCCAGTGGAAGAGCTGGCTCAGGGATCTGAAGGGATCAGCTCATCGTCTGAGAGTGCTCCTTGATCCCATGTTGTCCCTGGCTGTGCCTGCATGTTTACACTGCCACCTTTTCTGAATGAGTCTGGCTTTTTCTGAATAACATTATCAGTTATCATCAATAAGTGATGTCATCAGTTATTGATCATCATGATGTTGCTGGCTGGGATCTATGGGAGCTGCATCCCAACACATCTGGAGGCATCAGGTTGCGAAAAGCTGCTTTCAAGCCCTGAAGGCTAGCTAAGGGACCACCTGTCTTGCTATAAACTTCCTAGAGTAGGAGAGGCCATTTTGAGGCTCCTGATCCACAGAGGCCTGATGGCTGGGCATGTGTCCAAAGGGCCTTCTATGCTCCCAAACTATGGAATGGCTTCCATCAGGAACTGCCCTTGGCTTCAATTCCTTCGGCCTTTATGAAAATAATAAAGATGCATCCTTTCCATTTCACTTGTCAAAGTGCATAGTTTTAATGTTACAGATTTTTTACAAACCAGTGTTACAGTTCTCATTTGTTTTGAAATGTTATTTTAAGTTGTAAGAAGCCACGATGAGTTCTTAGTGGATAGGGTGCTACCACATTGTTAAGAATAAATATATGAATAAAGCAAATGGAGTAACTAAGTTATTCTCATGCCTTAAATTCATCCCTAGAGACAATGGATTGATATAAAATTTGGCGCTGATTATTTGACCTGATGGTCCATAAAACTCTCCCCTGCCCCTGGCCCGCAACTCTCTGTTACTAGCCAGCAAAAGTGTATTTCCCAGCATCACTTTACTTGGTTTTTATGTAGACATGTGATACATATCATTTATTGAAATGCAGCATGTGACGCCTTGTCTACCTCAGACTGACTACACTGAGTTGCGATTTCCTCCCTTACATGCAAATGAGGGCCAACCTGCGAGCCCTTGGCAGAGTGCCAGCATGGCCTGTAGATTCCCTTCAGCCCCTCTCCCCCGACGTCCCCATTAATCCAGTGGGCTTGGGCATTTTACTGAGAAAGACGGCGTCACACTTTGTACCGAGAGCAATGTCTAAACTCATACTGACTTCGACAGAGATAGAACATGTCTTCTTGATCTCCCTTATTAAGTAAAATCAGTTAAAAACAAGGTTTTTAACTAGCTTTCTGAAAAAGGCTCAATCAAACTTCACATTTTTCACAAAAATGAAAAGGAGTATTTTTCATCTCATGCTTTCTACAGGTCTTTTTTCCTCTTAACTCATTTATTTGATGAACATTTTGACAACTAAATATCATCACCTATCGAAAAGATAGATTCCATTGACATTTAGCAGACGATTTGCTTGACACATGTTTTATACAATAATTTGCCATCTAAAATCCCCACATTTTCTTATTCTCCAAACACACACTGAGGGTGCAGCCCTATGAATGTTTCAGTGGAAGAATGTCCTGCAACTCCTAGCCTCTCCCAACCAGCAGGCTCCCTTCGTGCAGGTGGGCAAATCCCCCCTCCAGTTTACCGCCTATCCATTAAATTTGGGCACAGTGCTTTTTGTGTGTTTTTGTTTTTAATAACTGCCAGGGAACCCCACTAATCACAGCAGCGAGATTCTGAAAAGGTCAGGGTGGGGTGGGAGGAGTTGATATCTTCACTTTCTGGAGTAGCTGGAGTGCTGGGAAGAGTTGGAGAGGTGGAGGGCACTGAGAACACGCCATTCAATTTTGCTAAGGTTTTGTCCCCACCCCTTTCACCCTTTTCGGCGCCCTTTCTCTTGCCACTCCCTCCCCTTTATTGATGCTTTTCAGTTGATGTCTAGGCAACTGGTCCTTGGCAACTGTGCACAAATGTGCAGTCTCCCCTCGCCCACCCTCTGAAACTGATGAAAAAACTGACCAAGCAAGGCAACGCGTGATGGATAGCCATAATGGCACACTTGTGTGCCTGTGAAAGACTGACTAAATATAGCAATGATTAAAAAACACTGTGACACCGAGTGCAGATTTTCTGAGGAGCTGAAAAATAAAAGATAAAGAGTCAAAGAACAATCGATGGTCCTTTCAACATGCTGTTTAGGCATTGCTGGAAAAACAGTCACTGGAAAGTGCAAAAGAGGTGAGTGGTAGGATGCTCTCTTGTTCTTGCCAGATGGCTCTGTAGCCAATCCCAAAAACCCACAATAAAATCAACCTGCCTGGTTCAGACAACCCAAGAATCCATCATGGGCAAGAACAAACCTGAAACAAGCCATGCGTACTCGGGATGGCTTGTTTGTGAAAAATAAACCACCCTGCAGAAACTGTTCCAGGTTTGGATAACACCACACCATAGCTGGTTACTCCTGGTGGGCTGTTGGCTCAAGTGAAGCAGGTCATAGTGCGCTCTCGCAGCAATGCAGAATTCATAGTGGCTGCATGTTCAACTAGGAATATCTTTTTTGGCAAGAGGAATGTCTTCTCAAATGTTTCGAATAAAAGACACAGTAAAGGCAAATGCAGAAACATCCTTTTACATTCATGTTTGTTTGCTCTCTTTTATAACAATAACCTACCATGTTTGTTTGTTCTCTTTTATAACAACAATCATAAGGTATATCCTACCTTACCAACAGATCCCAAATGGGTTGTTAAGAACGCACCAACAGCTTCACACTTTCTCAAAAGCAATCACCTGGGAGACATGAATAGATGTTCAGAATTGGACCTTATAGTCTGCTGGGAAAGATAAAGGGGGTTAAGATTGGATGCAAAGGCTCTGGTACCATGGCATGGAATTGAACCCGTACCATGCACTGTTGCAGCAACTTTGGAAAGCAGAACTTGGTTGGCTCCTGTACAGCTATACTATGTAAGGCTTGGCAAGGGTCAAGGGATCTTTCATTCCCCTAATATGAAAGGAAATTAAAGATACTGTCAAGCCTTATCCAGGCCCAGGCCAGCATGCTCTTTGGATGAAGGTTTAGAGTCTACAGTGTCCAGCAACCCTGTAGAACCCCTGATATCGCTAGTACCTTCAAGGAAACTGCTTGGTATCCTCCAGTACTGATAGACTCTGATGTCTCCTCCTCCTGAGGGCCTTGTGTCCCTTGCAGTGCCTCAGAGGAAGGCGGACGATCCACCTAGCCTTAGAGTGCACCTGCACCAGAAGGTGGATCCACAGGACACTATGGGCATCCCCATAGGACTGTGCTCTTGAAGGCCATAAATATGACTTGAAAGAAGCATTGCACAAATGTGTGGAGTATAAATCCAGTTCCACACCTATCTCTAAGTTTGCTTGTTTGCAATATTTCATTCTCCCCGTTCACATGATTATTGCCTTTCAAAGCAGTTCATAATGGCAAGACTCACAAGGAAAGAGAAAAGGAAGAGATGGAAGATCAGATTTTCAAGGGCAGAACAAGATGGCATTTGAAAGCATATCCGGCCGGGCTGCACTTCCCTTGCCAATATTATTCCCTGACTAGTAATTGATTGATCTTTGTTCCTTTGGCCAATGACCAGAGACCTCTTTCCCCTTCCTTCTGCATTCACAGGGCCACCTGCAGCTGGAGCTGAGTGCTCTTCCTGGCACTCTTCGTGAGTGCTTCCTTACTGCAGCTCCTCCTCCAGTGACCAACAGATGGGCCAGATTGGTCTCCCCCTTGGCTTGACATTCCTGGGAAGCAGAGGGCACAGTCTTCCAGTGGCCTTCAGCTTGTGGCTGATGGCAGAAGCCAGAGTGTGAACCCCTTCTGTTCTCCAGTCCCAGGGCAACTGACACCGAAGAATGCTCCTCTATATTGCCCCTGCTTTTGATTTATGAATGGGCAGGCAAAATTTACCTGCTGCTGCTGTTGCTCCAGTAGCTACCAGCTGGTGGTTCCTGTTTCTCTCCTGCAAAGCCATCTGGAATGAAGCTACATGAAGGTGCGTTGCTGTTGTGACGAGGTTTTCTGGCTCAGAATTGCCAGTCACTGGGGAGTAGCAGTGCGACAGGGTCTCACTTCAGGACTTCACAGAGCTTCTGCTTGGTGTCTGTAGGACACACAGCACTGAATTAGAGGAAGCTTTGGTCTGATCCAGCAGGGCCCTTCTTGTATTTGTATACCTGTCTACCCAGAGAAGCTAAACTGGGAAAACGATAAACTGCAAACCCAGAAATTACTGGTTTGTGACCTTTGTAGTATTAGTCTTTTTAAAAAAAAATAAATCTGATAGCACTATATATGGCAGGTTGTTTTGTTTTTAATCAAACAATTTTAATAAAATAAAATTTAATACAAATAACATTTTATTATTTTAAGATTGTTGTTTTCTCTAAATAGCCCTAAAACACAGTGCACTTTGCTGGTGCTCTGGGACACTTGACCAAGAGTAAAAACGGCTGCAAAAGAATGCTGTTCAGAAAATGCAGACTTTTGTTAATGTACAGGCATTTCATCCATTGCTCATTAATGCACATAGGCCTGGCAATGGAATGAACATTTTTTCTGGAGTGGGGTCGAAAAACTAATTATTCACCATATGGTGGTCAGCTCAGCAACAATTGCTGAAGCCATGGAAGCAAAAGGAAGTTGGCTGGTTGATTTCTTTGAGCAGTTTGCACAGCGATGGCTCTCTTGACACATGCCATTCATCCGGCTTCTGGATAACAGATGGACTAAGGCTGGGAATTGTAGAAAACTCATGCCAGGGATCTGGTGGCTGCCCCTGCCTTTTTATCCTTCAGAATGACTTTGGGTCACATGGCTTGTGAAAAATAACAAGCAGGGGATTGTACTCCCAGGATTTCCTTGCTTCTTTCATAAAGCAGGGCGTAATTTTGACTGCCTTTTTCGCATTTTGTTTATTAAAGGGATCAGGGGGTTTAGATGAAAGAGATTACTTGGTTTGGAGTTGGGGTGTCAGGATTGAATGTGTGTGCAGGGTTGTGCTATGCCAGTGACATTCAGCTCATTGTTAGGGGGAAAATGCTGGCAGTTTGATAAGGGATAAGAAAATAGAGGGGTTTTAAATTAAAATTTAAATTACTGACTATTTGTTCTCTTCCCGTTTGTAAATCGCACATAGGCAAGTTAAGATAAGAGCTGCTTTAGATTCAGCATACTCAGAGCTGACGTGGGTGGTGTATTCCTCCTGCCCTCCCATCCCCCCCCCTCAGAGCTCAGGAAGGGAAGGCAACAAGAATAGGACCCCAAGACCCACACTTGCAAGTTGTATGCTTTCTGGATTTAACATTGTTCTGAGCACTGCCAAGTACGAGGGAAAGAAAGTGGCCAGGCAAATATTCTTCTAGGCATCTCCTTAAAAGTGAAGCAAATTAATTCAAGCTGTTCCTGGGAAGCAAATTAAGTTTTTATTAAGCATAGATGACAGAGTTGGGCCATCTCTTGGGCAGGAGGAGTAGAGCCCTCCCAGCACCGTGCCCCCTGCTGACCCCCCCGCCCCCCCACCCCGGCACTGTGGGATCACTCAGCCGCTAGCACTTTCACAAGCAGTTGTGTGTGGCCACAGTCTTTCCAGGTCACCTCGTTGTTCTCGTTGATTGTGTTCTGTGCATGCGTGGTGTGCCCACTTGGAAGGGGGAGAAGGCAACCTGCATGCGCAGGAGGGGCCTTGGGGAGAAGGGCTTTGCCTGACTGCCAAAAGTGGGAGCCGTGGGGTGCCAGAGCCAGGGTTGGTGGGCCAGAGTGGTTTAGGGTGCAGTCTGATGTTCCCCCTTTCACGGCATGCAAGCTCCTGAGCTCAGGGGCTGCCATCCTTTACATGGATCAATGTATGGCAATGGCCTCCACCACTGCCACACCGCGTTCCGTGTAGTTTGCCCAGACAGCTGTTTCCGGCCATCAGATAAAGCAGGGGGAAGGGGGAGGCAAGGAGGCTGGGCACCCGTAGAAACAGGCTTCAGCCCTCAGCCCCTTCCCTGCCACCCCTCCATTCTTTCCCTATGTGAAAGCTGAACCAGTCATGTGTTAGGTTTTTCCTCCTCTTTTGGCACCTTCAATGGGGTAGCTATCTATTTCTAACCAAGGATCCATGCCTCATATTCTCTGGGCCTCTTCTGGGCAAACTCTTATAGCCAATACTATCTTGCTATAATTTTGTGTTTGTGTTGGGGGTGGGGTGGCTTGTTTTTGACCATGATTTTGCTATGATTCAGTTCATTGGAGTCCTTCCCTCTGGAAGAGGCAACTGCATGGCCTAATTATTACAGATTATTAAATTAATTTGGTAATTGGACAGCATAATGAAAGTGACTCCCCACTAGGAAAAAGCAAGGATTATTTGCATTGTCTTAAAGTTCATCCTTGGAACAATTCATTGCCATTTCAAAGGGTGCCAGTGGATTGAAAGAAGAGAGAGAGAATCATCACTTAGAGTCATGCATTATGTTTCCATCATCCGTCAGCTTTCAACACTTATTTTGACAATGGTTGTTTTTGACAGAGCATTTGTAAGATGCTCTTCCTCACCCTGGGTCTGAGATATGATGAATGGACCATACAGGTGACCTTCACCCAAGGCTGCATGTTAATATTCAGAATGGCCCTTTTGTTTGCTTTGAACAATGCCTGTCATTTTTTAAAGCTTGGTTTGCCAATATGACCCTCTGTTAGAATGCTGGACCATTCCAGATTGGTCACCAGGAAGCACCAAGCGCCTTTGACTGAAATGACATGGAAGATGTATGGTCGAAGTGCTGTGCGCAGCACCACTGCTGTGACGCGAAGAAAACCACTTTGACCCAAATAGAAGTGTACTCAAACAATGTCGCACCAACCAAAGACAACATATTGGGAAGAAAAATGCTTGTGAACAGTTTGCACTGGAAGATGTATTGGCCAGATGGCCATAGGGCAATCTTTGAACTATTGAAATCTTTAGAAATATTGTTTAGTACTTGAACAATACTTACAAACCTAATTAATCAAGCATAGATGCGCTTGCTGATCCTTTACATAGCGTATTATGACTCCAAGAATAACAGGTTCACAATTATTTTGAAAGGATTTACTTAGTTGTAGTTACTTAGCCAAACTACACTTCTTAGGACCAGCTGAGGCTGAATCTCCATTCATAGAGAATAAGTAGATAAGGGGAGATTAACAAGTTCCATGTCTTGAGAATGTTAGTTTAAAATTGTTTATAACTTTAAAAAAGATTATATATATTTTTGCTCCAGCAGTGTTTCTTGTTTAATGATATTTGCCCCTTGTTTAATGATATTAAAGTTCATCATTATTAACTGCCAGCAAACAATTTCCAATCCAATCCACTTCTATCTAACAAGTGTTACGAATGCTTCTAAAACATATTCTGCAGTTTATATCTATTTTTAGTGGTCATGTAAAATAATGTATGTGGTCATATGAATAAATATTGGGTTGGATGCAGATGAGTGAAATGAATTGGACTTAAGTTAGTCATAGGTAACCTGTAAAATTGATTTTCAGTGAGTCTACTCTGTCTAGAGCCATACCCATTACAAAAAAATAAACTTCCAGTGTAACAGTTCAACTTTCACTTTGATATTATCTAGTGTTTCCAAAACATTTTGTTTTCTATATAGCCTGTACTATGCAGTACTATGCAGCTTGCACTAAGCTTATACTGATATTTTCTTGTTTTCTTCCCTATAAATGCACATAGAATCAAAGTGAGAATCAAACTGAGTGTGTTTAGTTTACTATAGCTACAATGTGGATTTTTTGGGGAAAGTGTTTTTGTTCTTTTGAGCATCTAGTGTAATTTTTTATTAGTTTAATTTCACTTAGGGACTACTTTTCACTTCAAGATTGCTTTCTGTGGGGAGAGGAAATGCATAAATTAAATAATAATACATCATAATTTAGATTTAATAGTTATGCAATAATTAAATGTAAAAATATAATAATTTAATTTAAAAGAATTTAGATTAAAATGCTACATAACTTCATGGAAGTTATTTATTGGATTTATAGCCTGGATTTATAGCCTGCTTTTTTCAATGAATTCAAATAAGCTCACATCATTCTCCTGCTGCTGCTCTCAATCTTATCCCCACAACAACAACCTTGTAAGGTAGGTGGGACTGAGAGTCTGTGGCTGGTCCAAAGTCACCCAGTTGGTTCCATGACTGAGCGGGGACTGGAACTCAGGTCGCCTGAGTCCCAGGCTTGCACTCTTAGCCACTGCACCACACTGGCTTTCAAATTAGCATTGTGTAGCCTTCCAGGTCAAAAAGACCCATTACATTGTTCTTTTTTTCCATTTTCCTATGAAATGTATCACTTAAAACTAGATTCCAGCAAATGAATGCATATGTGGATTAATTAATTAATAACACAAGGCAGTCTATTATATTAAACTCCATGCTTTCACAGGGAAATGTGCACTTTGGATTTCTACATTCGATTAATCAGGCTTTGCCTGCAAGACACCCATTTTCTTCTTGGACTGGATGATGTAAGCCTGGAAAACCTCAATAACATTTCCATTTTTCAAAAAATGCTTTTGCCAGCCTTTGGTTTGATAACTGTGGCAACCCATTTTTTTTAGATGTACTTGTGATTTTCCATGTACATTTACAGCTAGAACTACATATTTAGGAGAGGGTTTTTTGAAGACCATATGCAATAAGAACAATTTAACACTGGGGTGGGGCAGCGTGTAAATCTCTGGATGTTTTTGACTCCAATAGCCAGAACAGTCTGTGCTGGCAGGGGAATCTGGAAGTTGAATTTCAAGACATCTGGAGAGCTGCCTTCTACTCATGCCTGGTGGCATTCTGTCTAAATTTTGCTTTCTTTGAATTATGTTCTTAATCCAACTGGAAAAGAGGATCGATGCAGCCAAGGTGAAGGACTTATGAATCTCATGCCGCAGCCAAGTGAAAATATTGTCATATTTTCATGCACCTATCAATTTCACAGAATCTCCATATCTTATAAGGAAAAGGAAGACAACGCCAAATACTCTAAACTTTTATGAACTCGATTGTTACACACTCACTCTGGTGTAAATGTAAAACATCTTGGATTAGAGCAACATCAGAGCAATGCTACCTCACCCCTCATGCCGGAATCCTAGCCTACTTGCACAAAACTAAAAAAGAAAGAAAGAAAAGAAGAAATGTAGCTGCTACAACACTTAAAATAATGCCTCTTTCTTTGACCCTTAGCTCTGTAAACACATTATTTTCTTCAAGGTGTTTTTAGCAAACAGTTTTGTACCTTAGGACCCTACAAACCCTTGTTTAGTGCTGTTTTGAAAAATGTGCGCAAATATGGTTAGATCAATGGGAGAAAAATGCATACATTTGTGAGAGCTGGAGCAGTGCAGTGGTTAGACTCTTGGACTGGGGACCAGGGAGGCTGAGATTCTAGTCCCCATTGAATCTCACTGGGTCACTTTGGGCCAGTCAATCACTGTTAGCTGAATCGCCCATACAAGGTTGTGTTGCGAGGATACCATGGAGAGAAGGAGAATCTTTAAAACTTCCTTAGCTCCCTTGCAAGAGGAAGAAGGAAGGGTATAAATTTAATATAATAATAATAACTTAAAAGATACAATACAATTGATGTGCAGCTATGGAAAATATGCATGGAAAAACATGCTTAATTTCATCTGGAAAAAAAAAACAGAAACAAAAACCAAAGCACACAATAAGAATGAGCTTCAGGACAGAATTCTGAGAACTTCCGCAAGCTTGAATTTTGTTCATTTGCACCTCCCTATACACTGAAACTCTTGTAATGCTTTAGATTTTTCTGCAAATGTTTCTAGACCCCCCCGCTCCGCCCCCAGAAAAGCAATGCCTCTTGTGCTTACTCAAGCTTATCCTCCACGTTTGCGAGAGTTTCTTCCACACCAACGTGGAAGGAGGTGACAGCACTGAGGCTTCCTACGAACACCTCACTGGAGGAAGTGGCTTCCTCAGCGGTCTTCCAACAGTAAGCTGAATAGCCTCAGTTACCATGGTGCTTCAGACATTCTCCATGCTTCACCATATTCTGTGGAAAAATGCTTGGGGCAAACACCCTCTTTCTTGGAAATTTGGCATGACCGTCTCCTTTACTGCTGGCCTGTCCATCCGCCGATCTCCGCACAAAGAGGTTAATAAATGTTTACTTCACCCCTCCCCTTGTGCTCACTCCCCCCAATGTTTCCATATGGCTTGTTCACAGGCTTGTGCTTGTTTGTGTATGAATGTGCACTCGCATTGACTGGTGTGAGGGAATTGTTCTGCTCATGCTGGCCATCTTCACATCAATGCCGGCCCACAACAAGGGAAAGTGCCTCAGATGTAGTGGTTTCCACAGGACTATTGTTGGCCTTTTGTTAAGCATTTTTGAACCTAATAAATAATGTCAAAAGTCTCTATCCTAGCCAGAAATGTTCCTTTTGAAATCCTTCTAGTAGTATTTTTGTTCTGTGATGGCTTCCAGTGTTGCAAAGAATTTCCACTTTACAACCGTAATTTGATGTATCGCGTGCCGTGTTGTAATATGATTTCCCCCCCTTTCCTTAAAAAAAGAAACATGGAGAAATTTTGGTACTAAATTCTAATCTCTGGGGTTTTTTTAACCTTTTAAATATTTTTAAGTATAAAGATTCCTTCAGAGAATAGATGTTTCAAGTGGAGTTAAATAGCATAATCAAGAGTGAAGTAAAGAGAGTGATTTTTGTTTTCCCATCCTTACTGAGAGGGAGGTAGGGGTGCAGATTTTAAACTTTAGATATATAGGCAACCTTGATGGGTAATCATTGTGAGAGAAATTCTGCCTAGATAAGGGATTGCTAATTTTTTTCAAGTCACTTCAAGTTTTCTACTACATTTGGTTGTAATGAACTTAAATTCTCTTTAAGCCTTCCAAAAGAGTAATCCTGTGTTCTCTAAACATGTTTAGGCCCCTGTGTCTGAAGGGCTGTAAGATACGACAGATCTCTCCCTTCAAGTCCAGAGACAAAGCTCCATTGCCAATCTTAGAAAGCAAAGACGCAGGTCAGGTGGGAGTGGGACAGTGGGCAGAGAAGGAAGAGGTTACTGGATCCCTCCCCCAGCAGAGGGAGCAAGTTGGATGGGCTCAGGGGCTTGTCCAATGAAAAATACTTGAATGGAGGACGGAGAGCCAAATTCAGTCTGCATCAGTCCTGCTGTCCAGAGCCTGGCAGTGCATTGAACATATGGAGGCCTCCAAGTTCAGCAGCCTCCATCCTTTGGACATGCAGTCCACAGGATGGCGTTGTTAAGGAAATCAGGTTAATAATCATTTTTTGGCCCTGGAGTCCAGCAAGCAGGATTCCTGTTCCCTGGACAATGGCTTATGGGTTAACATTCTGCATAGTAAGTGGACACAAGGCACTGCCATTCACCATGTCAGTTTATTTTCCATGTGGCCACTACTGTAAGGATAGAAGAAGTTGTATTATCCTGAGCCAGACCTCTGGTCCATATAGATTAGTGCTGACTATACAAATCTGCAACAGCTCTGTGTCAGAGAATGCTTTTCCTAAGCCTTTCTTGGAGATTTCAGGGACCAAACATTGGATTTCAGTGGAGGTCATTATGGTCGTTAAAGGAGCTATCCACAGCGCTGAACCCTAACCCAAAATAACTCATTTAAAGCTCAGACTAAAGCTCAGAGTGGATACACTGCCCACTGCTTGGGAGTCCCATCCTCCCATCAGTTCTTTTGTGGGGACACTGCCATTGAATTATGGCCTTGCTTTGTCAGTGGGCTCTTGGGTGCAAGACAGAGACTTCAAAGTCACTGACAACATGACCCTTTCAAGTGGAGAAGCCAGGAAATGATTTTCCATAATTGAACCATGGTACCTCCCCATAAATACATATGGAAAATGTGTGGTGTCTGCTTATGGATTGCCAGAAAAAGAGGATACCAATTTGATTAACATTCCCATATGCCAATTGCTTATATACGTACTTCATAAATCACATGAATGAACCTTTAGTCATAGTGATTATAACTTGATCAGAAATACAGTGTGTTTTATCATAATGTGGAAGACTGGGACAAGGTACTGTGGAGCCTTTGCTCAGCCTGCTGTCCGCGTGCTGCTGAAGGGCAGCTTCAAGGCCCAGCACTTCCTTCCGGTGGACCAGAGCTCGGCAGCTATCCAGACAGAGGGCACCTCCAAAGCAGAGGACAGCCCTCCTTCAGACAGAGCTCTGTCCTATGCAATATTTGATCCATGGCCACCCTAAAATTGGAAGAAAGAGAAGATATCGCCAGCATGGCACAATGCTTCGTGTTAGACCGGGCACCCAGGAGATAGAGGTTCTAGTCTCCACTCAGCCATGCAGCTCACTGTGAGACTTTGGGCCAGTCACTGCCTCTCAGCCTAAGCTGTTTCAAAGGCTTGTTCCAAGGAAAGGATGCAGATTCTCCCCTGTGGCCAAGGTCTCCTTTTCTCCATTTCTTCTATGAGAAATGCAGCAGAAGGAGCCATAACTCACGTTGCTCTTTAAATGAATGGTGGGGAATCAAAAAGCTAATCCATGGAGCACATGCACCCGTATTTTCCTTCTCCACACAGTGCACCCTTCTTCATGCCTTATCTGAACCTTCTTGCAGTTTCAGAACAAAGCCTGCTGAACTCATGGAAAGGCTGTTCTTGGAGCAATACGAAGCCTCCTTGAGCATGTCGCTAGGGCAGTAGTGGGGTGTGTGTGCTTATTTGGCAGTCCAGGGACCGGTTCTATCCCTGGATCTTCTGTGGGTGTCATCGCTTCCATTTACTGCTGAAATTGCCCCCACCATGCATGCCTCCAAATCTGGGAGCAAGCAGCAGAAGGCAGTGACTTTCCTTTAGCTCAAGTCATGTGGGAAACACAGTTCCGCTTCTTTTGGGAATGCCATTTGGCTTCCCAACAATGCATCTTGCTTTAAATTAAACTACTTGTGCCTTACTCTGAAGCTGCTGATGTTGTGGTAACAAATTCAGCAGCAAAAGTGAGGGGACTGCAGGGACTGCAAAAGCAGGTTGGAGGGGCTGATCTTGCCCAGCTCTGAACTAGAATCGTGTTCAACTTGTTCAACAGGAAGTGGCTGCTTTTTTTTGGGGGGGGGGAGTTCTGTATTGGCCAGAGGTGTCTCATCCCCTGAGCTCAACCTGTCCTGCCCTGGTCCTCTAGCTTGCAAAGTTCTCTACTAGCTCTGTCTGTAAGTGATGGCACCATACAAAGCCATCTTGCTTTTAGACATAATTTGTTTCCCTTGGTGTATTCACATTTTCCAATAACAGGGCAACCTGCGAATATTATGGGCATGATAAGGCACTTTTATATCCCACTGATTTCAGCTGGGAAAGATTAAAGCACGTGCTTCACTCACCCTCTGAAACCAGTAGGACTTAGCTATGCTTAACATGAACTGGGTGGTGCTCCGCTCTGTGCAAGTCCAGTGTTATGGCGCACTTGATATTTCATGGCTAAGCTACTTTCCAAGCCACAGGTACACTTGCAGAAGATCGGCGTGTATCTGTTTTCAGCTGAAGATAGGAAATGAATGCATTTTATAGCCATATGAGAAAAAAGAGAGCCCTCTAATGTGCTGTGGCAACAGGCCACTCTTCGTGTTATCAGCAAAAACACACACAAGCTAAAACAAACATGAAGTTCCTGAATGCGGCAGATAATATAGCACCAGGGCAGACATTATCCATGATTTGTAAGCATCTTAGGCCTTGGCATTGAAATTAATTCACCTCACCCTAATGCTATAATTATGGTTGGACCATTGGACTTTTTATATGCTTGTTTTCTATATGTGCTTCATAGTTTTTCAAAAATGAGCCTGTTCTGCATGGAAGGTAGAAAAGAAGCATGGTAATAATTGTACTTTTAGAAGGTGTGAGTCATGAGGAAACAGATTGGATAGTCACTGCAAAATGCGGGGCAAAAGATAGCAAAAGATCAGGAAGCTAGGATAGCAGATGAATCTGTTCAAAGGAGAAAGGTTCATTACCTTCAAAAATCCCCTTATGTTTCGTCTCACTGACTCTTCACCGTTCTTCGAAGGTGCCAACAAGGATGAGGACACACGTTTACCAGCAGGTGATGTTTACTTGTACTTCCAAAAGGCCTTTGGCACAGCTCCTCATTGATCTCCTCGGCAACCTTGTCAGTCAAGGAGTGGCAGTCCGTGTGGTGTAGTGGCTGGAGGGTTGGACTGGGACTGGGGAGAGTCAGGTTCTCATCCCCGCTCGGCCATGAAGCTGGGTGGCTTTGGCCAGTCACTGACCTTTCTCACAGAGCTGATGTGAGAATAAAATGGAAAGGAAGACGAGCTGCCGAGGGTTCCTCACAGGAGGAAACGTGACGGGATAGAAAGGAAGTGTAATCACAATGGAATAAGAGATGTCACGGAATGTACTGGGAATTTGTAGAAGAACCGAAAGTAGAAAGTTAGAACAAATGGGCAGTTCTTGCAATAGAGGGATGTAAATTGTGGGGTCCCACAAGGGTCTGCATTGCAGCTGGTGCTTTTCAATGCATTGGGGGGGGGGGAACAAGGTTGCTGATGGAATCACATCATTTAGGGAAAGGTCCTATGGTCCCGCAGAGAGAGTCCTAGGACCATAGGACTGCTTGCAGTGCCCTTCCCAAAGCCACAGGCCTCAGGAGAGATTCCCTGAGTCTGGATTTCCCTTCCCTGCTGCCTGGCAGCTGCCACAGAAAGAACCACATGGGCAGCTTGTTGCAGTCACCAATGCGGGCTTGGATGAACCGAGAAGAGGGAGGCGAGGGCAGAAGAGAGGGCAGGATACACGAAGCCCCATGGCTCCCCAACTTGGGACCAGCCCCCACTGGCACAAGTGCTATAGAAGGGCTCAGGGGCCCATCAAGAGGGAAAGGGCAATAACCAGGGGATGGAGAGCCGGAAATCAGCACTGCTGTGCCTGCCACCACACTGGCAAGAGCACTGAATATGCGCACGCTGCGGCAGCTGGAGGTTTCCTTCTCAGGGTGGTTGAAATAAAAGGGTGAAGAGCTTCATAAGTATCCCTCCACAGTAGTAAAGAGCTCACACTGGAAGCTAGTATAAAGGGATGCACTTTGGAGCCAAAAAATTTAAGAAATCCAGTAACTGGTGAAGAAAAGGATCGTGAACGTGATTGAAAGCAATATAGCATGATGAAAAGGGTGAGCCACTGTGTAACTACTGTGAAAAAGACAAGTTTCATGTTGGGAATTATTAGAAAGAAATTAAAAATGAAAGTGCTGATATCATAATTTCTTTGTACAAATCCATGGTGCAAACGGATTTGGAATACCATGTACCATTCTAGTCACTGGATCTCAAAGTCGCCCAGTGAGCTCTATGGCTGAGCAGGGACTAGATCCCAGATCTCCTGAGTCCTGGCCCAGCACTCTTAACCACTACAATGCATTAGTGTTGTGAGAAGTGTTGCGTTATGGGAAGATAAAAACAAATGGGGGTTCTCTGAAAAACTTACTGACAGTTTATCAGATGGCTGGGAAAGGAACTTGGAAAAACCTCCTCTAGCTTTATTAACATTGCACTGCTTTACAAACTTCACAAATAATTAGAAATAAATTCATAGTTAAGAGTCAGAGAGTCCACGTAGCAAATGTTCATTTTATAAATACATTTGATACATGTGTGGTGGTCTTCAGAGATAGGAGGCTATACATACTTCCCTGGCTGCACATTTGTATACATCACCATGCACATCTTTAGAAAGTAGCGGGAATGCCAAGGCTACCTTGGGTCAAATGCTGTAGAAAGAATTGCTCTCTTTCCTGCTGGTGATCACCTGATTTCCCATACAAGGAATGGTTGGTATTCTACAAGGTAGAGGTCACCATTAAGTGCCATCACATCTAAACCCAAATGCCTCATCAGTCTATTTAGCATGTGTGTGTGTGGGGAGGGGGAGGTGGGAGTAGTAGCAGTTGTCTTAATTTATTCCTGGAGACTAAATCAGTATGGTGTGCTGATTTTCGTCTTCCCACACTAGCCTTTGGTTAAAGATGCCTCCTTTTTGGAGGATTTTGTGTGTGACTCCAACAATGTTCTGTTCACATTTTCTTGGATGGGGCCAACAATTGCTTGTTGACCCATTTTAACCCCTTTTGAGCGTCATCTTCAAAGTGTAACTGTCCTTGACAATGAAAAAGACCTTCCTATTGTCTGGCCCTTCCAGGCAATCTTTAGCATTGAGTCAAATGGCTTTCAGATGGAGGAGATGGCTGCAGGAAGGAGACAAAGTGGGCTGTTGTTTTGGAGTGACTTCGGTTGAGTTTCCCTTTCTGCCACCCCCTCGCCTTTTGGAAAGGCACATTTCTATAGAAGATGACAGACATTTTGACAGGTGCAATATGCTTTGAACTGTTGCATCAGATCATTCTTTTGTCTTGCCTTTTCCCAGCAGAGTGGTACATCTCCTTAGGATGCTGATATACATATTGCCTGCCTTTTATTTAGTGTGGTAAAGCCTTCCGTCCCTCCCCTGCTCCTTGTTTCTCACTTTCTGCATTTTCCAAAGGTCGTTTACATAGCATGTAGCTAACCCAGATGGGGAGACAGAAAGCAGTGCTGCCGTCCTCTTCTCTAGCCCTTTCACTGCAATTACTTCTCAGAACAATTCCAATTCTAATAACGAAAAGATTGCGAGCATTCAGGGAGATACTTCTCCATAATGACAATTTACTGATCTTGTGTCAAGGATTGCTAGATTCCTCTTGCTGTAGATTCTCTTCTTATTTTACAGAAAATATATTTTAACCTTTTAGATCTGAGCCATGGGGACAAGGTTTGCAAATGTTCCCAACAGACTTGTAGCAGCAATCATTCTTTACAGCCAAGGAATATTCCAAATCCTTCTTGCTTGCACTTTTCTCAAAGACACCCTAACATCAAGTTGGGATGAAATTCAGTGGAATCTGTCCCTCTAGCATTCACAGGCTTCCTCTTGCATTTGGCCCAGTCTTAGAAAATGAGCCCAGCCAAGCGAGAGTCTGTGAACACTCGCAGAATGAAGACCGTGCCAATGGCAACCTTCTTCTGCATCATGTGCAGCGGCACAAACACAGGCTGTTGGTGTGATGCTGGTTGTGCAGCAGTTGCGTGGGTGCTATTCCTGGTGAGCCCTGCTTGAATGTGGTGTTGCGTGGAGGAAAGCAGAGGAGGGACTTAATGACGTTCTCAGGAATGGAACTCATTCATAACCTAGGGACTGCCTGTAAGTAACTGACCAACTTGAGAGGACTTGGTCAGAAGCATCACGCGCCTACTGGAAAAGAGAAAATATAATGGAGCATTAACTCCCTTCAAGTTCACTGAATATTCTTGGGGTCAAACACTGATAATGGATTCTGTAATATGAGAACTTCTGGCTCACCTCAGAAAATTAAAACACACACAGAGAGAAATCTGTGTGCAAGCAAAGATATATTTCATTCAAAACCAAAGTTCTCTTCGTGTCTTTGGTTACACTGGTCTACAAGTTTTGGAAAATTATCAACCTCCGAGATAAAATGTGCTAATTCTTACCTATTTTGATTAGATGAATTAGAAAACAGGTGATAAAAGTGCTGGTTGGCTAAAGTTTTCAAGATATTTCACAGTAAAGATTAATACACTGGCGAGTATATTTGTCCACAAGGGAGGGAGGTGTCTGATGATCATGATGCCTCATAACTTCTTGACAAAGTATGGTAGAACAATGACAATGGTACCACATCCCCCTTGTAATTTTGAATTGTTTTGATGCAATTTTGAGCTGAAGCTGGATCTTGGAAACTGGAACCAATTAATACTCAGGACTTAGTTTTCCTTTATTAGTGACCCAATTCTGGTAAAATTTAGCTACTTTCATTTCTGAGGCTTTCTCCTTGTAAAGGTAAAGGTTTCCCCTTGACATTAAGTCCAGTCATGCCTGACTCTAGGGGGCGGTACTCATCTCCGTTTCCTGGCCGAGGGAGCCAGCGTTTGTCCGCAGACAGTCTCCGTGGTCATGTGGCCGGCATGACTAAACACCAAAGTGCACGGAATGCCATTACCTGCCCACTGAAGTGGTACCTTTCTATCTACTTGCATTTGCATGCTTTCGAACTGCAAGGTTGGCAGGAGCTGGGACTGAGCAACGGGAACTCACCCCGTTGTGCAGATTCAAACCAGCGACCTTTCGATCAACCAGCCCAGCAGCACAGCGGTTTAAACCACTGCGCCACCTGCAGTCCCTATTTTCTCCTTGTAGACCAGTGTTATTTACTGGACTATACAAACTGTGTATAGATACTGAATTTTAAAATATGTTCTTCCTTCTCCATGCCACTTCATCCTGACAGCTGGAAACAGCTGGGTGTGCGGGATGTCCGCAGTGCAGATTGCGACCACTGTGCCCTGCGCCATGCACTGGACACATGTAAGCCTCCAAGTTCAGAGGCTCGTGTACGTTTTGGCTTGTGCCCTAATGCATATCAAACAAGAGATCTCAAAATAAAACTCAGAGTTTCCCAACTTATAAAAAACGACTCTGTGTTTGTCTGTTCTGTTTTTATGGTGATGGTGCTCGCCAACAGTCTGCTCACTTCGTGTTCATTTCAGAACCCTCCAAGGACCCATCTTTTAGCATAGCTGTTTTTATGTCTTATTAGATAAAATTCATGCAATGGCAAAAGAAGCCACAAAAAGTCCTCTGTGCCACTTAAAACCACACTTACACCCTTGCCATGGGATTAAGTGGGTCTCAGCCTGATGTTGAATGCTTTTGACAGGGCTCCTCTCCTTAAAGGTTTTTTTTTAAATCACTAATACTGTTCACTAATTTTCCATGTATTGTTCCTATGGGTGATATACTAGGAAATTAGAGTGGCGGGGGGAGAGAGAAAGAGGGAGAGGGAGAGAGGAGATAAATAATAGGGCTGTCATTAGTGTTTAAATAGCCACCTTCTTGAGTGAGAGATTGCAGTGTTGGCAGCTATGTGAAGGTCAAAACCTAAATGGAATTCATTGCTTCAAAGGGACTGATCTTCTGTAGCCCATCTTTATGGGCACAAGTCTCTGAAAGGGTGCTAAGTATGAAATTAGACTATTATTCAGGACCATTTGCAATGTTACATTTCCCTACTGGCATTTCGAAAATGGGTGCAGCAAAGACACACC